GTGGCGGGGGCCCCCCGCGCTGCCCCGCAGCCAGCCCAGCCAGCCCAGCGATGGGGTCTGTGCAGAGGCTGTGCAGCTCCCAGCCTCCCTGCTCTGCTCCCTCCTCACTGCCCTGTCCTCTTCCCCAAGACCACCCTGCCCTTCCGCCAGCCGGGTGCTCACCTCTGTGCCTGGTGTGCTCTGTGGTGGCATCAGCAGCACCCTGAGGGACAGAAACATAGGATTGCCTCTATCCACGTGTGTGTACCTGGGATGCATCATCCCTGAGACATTCTCCCACGCACCTCCAGGCTCCTTTTTCCTCCCTGAGACTCTGTGCTGGGAGGAGAAGCTGCCATGGCTGGGTGCAGCTGGCAGGGCCACTCTATCCTGAGCACATTGTCCCCAACAAAACACAACTCCTGGCCATGTCCAGGGGGCTGTGCCAGCACACCGTGCGGATGAGACCCTGGGCACTGCCATGGGGCAGGCGTCTCCACAAGGCAACCAGGAAGAGCAGTCGGGCACAGTGAATACTGCCACTGTCACCAGCAGCTCTGGAGGGCTGGGGATGGTCACTGCTTCTACCTGCCTCAGAGCATTACCTACTAGAAGGGTGCTTGGTGCTCAGTGCTCTTTCTCAGCATTGCCTCCTGGCAAGCCCACAGCTGCCAAAGGAGATGTTGGAGCACAACCTCGGCCTCCGCTCCGAGGAACTTTCCAGAATAGATGAAGAAAACAGGCAGCTGAGCAACACAAGTCCCAGCCTAGCTCTGTTTTAAATTTGGAAGCTTTGGTTCAAATTTCTGCCCTATCCTGAGATTTCTCACTCGTCATTGGGCAAGTCACTTCATGTCTATGAAGCAGTGGCAATGGCAGTGCTGTTCCCTCTCTCAGAGAGGCTGCAAGTACATTCTGAGGGCTGGGCTGCTATAGCAAAGGGCACACAGAGATGCTCAGGAGATATGGTCCAAACTCTACTGACAGCAGGGATCGAGACATATATTTTTCAGGTGAGACTCATAATAAAGAAACCCAGTCCCGTCAGAGCCTGGCAGAGAACCAGTCCCCAGGCTGCTCCCATCGGACAGGCTGAATTCACACCCCTCTGCCTGTCCAGCCCCACAGCCAGGCCAGGCTGACAGCAGCCTGGGCTCCTACCCCAGCCCCAGCAAATGCCAGCTGGAGTCAACACTGACCATGAACTAGTGCAGCAGAGCTCCCAGCTCCTGTTAGTTTGAGCTGGTGGGCCTTAGCAAGGGCTGAGTAGGCACGAGGCACAGTGCCTTCAGCCACATCAACTCAGCCAGGGTGGTAGGGTTTACAGTTTGTACGCTGTTTCCTCCAGCAGCAGCTACTTGCTCTCTTCAGTGCTATCTCTGACCACATTTCACACCTCTCTGTCACCTATTTGTATAACATCCCCCTTCCTGCCTATCAAGGTACCATGGATGCACCCAGACGTAGCAAGACAAACCTTACTCACCTGCACAGCAGGAGAAACTTCACCTGGAAAGTGAAACAGTGCATGGTGAGTAGAGACAAGGCAGGCAGGCATCCCCCTCAAACCCTGTCTGCCCTAACTTCACCCCACTGCCTCTCAGTCCCTCACACTTCTCCAAAACAGCTTGTTCCCAAAGCTGACACACCCAGACTCTTTTCCTGGCACTGTGCAGACCCCGGGAGCTTCTGCTCCTGCAGATGCTAGCACAAGCAGTTGGTCACACTCCCCTCCAGCTGGGCTGGACAAAAGCCCAAGGACTGCAGTGCCAGGGCTACCACACAGACCTGAGGTCCTCGTGGAGGCAGCCCAGCCTGCCAGCACCAACCGTAAAGATGAGGTTGCAGGAGCCTGAAACACTCAACCTCCTCTCCAAAGGCTTGAAGATATGGTGTCTCATGCCCCAGGAACACTGGTAGGGCTGAAGAACACCTTGCATATTCATACAGATGTAAAGCCATTATCTGCTAGAAGTCCATGCATGGGGGCATGGCAGGACCTGGGAATTTGCCCACCCTTGCTAGGGGCCCAGCTGGAGCAGGTCTAAGCAGTAGACCCCACATTACCCTCTCCTGCCGAGGTGCCAGGGTGGGGGAATGCCTCCAGGATGCTCCCACGCAGGCTGTCCTGCAGTTGCTGTCTCCTTGCTGCCCAGTACAACGTCCAGTTGCTGCTCTCCCCTTGCTCTTCCAAGCTGAGGGGCAGCTCTTCTGCCTCTGCCTTCCTCATCGACAGGCGGATATCTGAGCTGGAGTAGGTGTACCCATGTCCTGCTGGGCAAATCTCCTTGAAGGCTTCTGTGACAGAAAATAAAACCAAAGCTTTAGAGGCCAGAGGTTGTAAGGAAGAGGGTGGTGCAGGGATCACAAGTAGAAAAAAATGGCTTACAGCATGCAGACATGATGGTGAGACAAGTGGAAGAAAGGAGTGAAGACGGACAGGTATGTATATGGACGCACATACCAGTTTTTCCCATCCTATCATTTTCTGGAGATTTCTAAGCATTAAATCTAAGGGTTAAAACACATCTGGGCTGCAGTGGGTGGATGCTTCAAGCAGAAGGAATCTGCTTACAGGGCAGGGTGGGTTTCTAACAGGTGCTGGCTGGTAGTCCCAGACTAAATCCCTCCCGTGAGTCAGTACTGCTAGGAAGGGATCATGCCACAGGAAGGTCCAAGCTGAGCAAGGGAGCATATAAAAGTGAACCTCTGGTACCCCGGCACTGAGCACTTTGCATATCACTCAGGAGGCTCTGCATAAACTATCTGAAGATTTTTACCAGCCCTGAGGATTTCTGCACTTTCCCTTCCACCCTACCCCGTGCTGAAACATGCCAAACTCGTCCTCACCTGGCTTTCACCCTGGCAGAAGGTGTAAGAGAGACAAAAGGGCTGTCTCTCTTACATGAGACATGTAAGAGTCTACATGTACAGTAGACATGGCTACTCTCTCCCTCCAGTACAGAGTAGTTCCCCATCAGGGATTTCTCTATCCTCCCAATATTATCCAGTTCTGCTCCCCGGCTCGCTGTGCCCATCTCACAGGCCAGCATTTCCACCACTCTGGGTCCTGCAGCCACCTGTGCGGCAGCAGGTTCAGGCAAGCCCAAGCCCCAGTCTAACCAGAGCAGGCAAAGCCGAAGTGGGCACATCTCACCTGAGCCGGGTGCAGGGCACTCCTCGCAGTTCTTCCCCCAGCCCTTGCCGACACGGCTGCAGCAGCAGATCTGTTGGGTGATGCGGTGGGAGAGGGGGAAGGAGCACACACCTCCAGCTGCCGAGCGGTAACACAGCCCCTGCTCCATCGACACTGCTTTGTCCGCTGAAACACAAGGGCAGGGTCAGTCCTGGAGATCAAGCTCTAGGCTCTCCAAAGAGAGAATTGGGGATGCTCAGTCTTCCCCTATCAGGCCTTTCTTTGCCCATGCCTCCCAGCCTGTCCTGAGGGCTGCCCCATCCTCTCCCCAGAACACCCCCAGGCCTTCAGCCATTGGGCCTTCCCCCCAGCAGTGCCAGCCCCAAGTGAATCCAGCTCCCATGGGAGCTCTCTCAACCCAGGAGGCTGTGTTCTCTGTTGCTGCACCGCAGGCATGTCCCTTCCAGGCTCCGCAGGGGCCATGAGATGTCCATGTAGAAGAATGATGGATGAAGGGGGCCCGAGGCATGGGGACCCATCCTGCAGGACAGCATAACTCAACCGCACTTGCAAGAGGTGGGAAGCATGCTGCAGCTTCCACTCAGCCATGGGGTCCTGCTCAGGCCCCCACCCAAACTGAGGGGTTCCCTGGAGAACTTACAGATGCAATGGCTACGGGATGGGTCCAGCATGGTGCCAGGCTTGCAGGTGCAGCGGAAGCTGCCACGGGTGTTCACACACTCGGCGTCTTTGCACAGGCCCTGCATCAAGCACTCGTTGATATCTGCGGAGAGGAGAGAACCCAGTGAGATGTGGGCAAGTTGAGGCTGAGCTGAACACCCTACCCAGTGCCCCCCATTCAGGTGCCACAGACCAGGGAGTCTCAGCCAGGCTGGTGTCCAAGGCAGCCTCTGCCATCGAGCAGCGTGGTAGGGACCTCTGCAGCGACAGCAGTCCTACACCTGCAGCACAGAGCTGGCTCTCTGCAGCTGCTGGGATGGCTCATGAATGACTGCTCTGCTCCACAGTCCTCATGGAAAACAGATGTGGCTCCTCTGGTGAGCAGCCCCGGCAGTGTCACTCTTATGGCCATCATAATTATTGTTTGCAAGCCTGGACTGGTGAGTCCTGTCCCCTCATCCATCTGCTGGTGCTGCTCATCTGGAGCCATCATCCACGGAGGTAATCCTTGCTGAGAAACTCAGTGCCAGCATGCAGGGAGGGCAGTGACTGATCCCCTCCAGAGACAGGGAATAGTGGGCCAGGCTGCAGTGTCTTCTTCTGAGAACAGGTTGAGTGAGTGGGAAGATGCCAAACTCAAGCCCTGTCTCAAGCTCTGCCTCTGCCCCTGACTTAGCACACAGCATCAGACACAGTCTTTGGGAAGGGAGCTGGGCTTATCCCAGGGAAACACCGTTGGTCTCATCCATTTGGCCTGCAGTAAAGCCTTTCCTACAGCATCATGCAGGAATGTATGAGCTAAGCCAGAGAAGACAGGGATTGGCAAAAGGTGTGTAAGGGAGAGCTGAGGGCAGCTTTCACAGTGTAGAGTGAGGAGGAAGCCCTCCTCATTCATTGATCCAGCTTTATATCATCCTCACTAAAGGGCTTGGTCCAGAAAAGTAAGCGTGCTGACAAAATATAGTGTCGGGAGGCACAAGCAGTGCAGGAAGACCTGTACGGGAGCATGGAGCAGTAGGAGTGGGATGAACCTCAGCACCACCCCAGGACAAATCACAGGAACATAGGCTACAAGCTGACGGATGGGAGCAGGCAGTGAGGGAGACCTGGGCACACTCGCTGCTCGCAGGACAGCTGCGAGCTGCCAAGGCCGAGAAGCGCCAACGTGATGCTAGACAGCATCACACCAAACACTTTCCAAAGACACAGGGCAGTCCTAATGCCCTGAGGGCACCTGGTGGTGCTCTAGAGACTGTCTCAAGGTGGGAGGGGTGCAAAGGCAGGCTGCGGGGACACTCGGAAGAATGGAGACACTGGAAGAGCCTGACTGAGAGCAGCTAGACTCAGGAACAGCTTTCCCACCACTACCTTGTTCCTCAGAGCTGAAACATCACTGCTTTGTGGAAGTGGGGGTGTCACACAGCCAACTGTGACAGCAGGAGTTCAGACTTAATGACCTGAGAGGTCCTCTGCAGCCCTGTGCTCTTAAACTCCCCCGTTCACCCCACTGGCTGCCCCATACATGGTTGAGACACACAGGGGCCATCAAGACCACGCCATGACGTTCAGCCAATTGGAAGTACCAACGCTACAGGGATGTGCAGCAGGCCAGGCAGAAGCAGGATTTGGCTGTGTAATGTAATGGTTCCCTGCTCCGTACCAAGCACAGGGCAGAGTGCATGAGAAAAACCAGCGGTCGGACCCCAAATGTGCTGGGAATCCCACTCAGAGAAGAGGCTTGGGCTCTCTAGAGGAGCCTCAGGGCTCATCCCTGTCATGGTGGGAGCATCGTGTCATTCCAACACACCAACTGGACGAAGTGTTTGGCCTCCGCATAAGCAAAGGGGTTGAAGGGATTAGAGTAATAAGAGCACAAAACAAACAAGCACCAAGGGCTGGGCTTTATGAGCTTAATTTAAAACAGGGCCACATCCTGGCCTCAGTCCAACCTCCTCTCTTCCCCTGTCAGCAGAGGACCCACCCACAGTGGGAATCCCCACAGGGAACAGAAGCAGGCAGGCGCACTTGGGGCCACATACTCCTACACCCTGCAGCATGCCGGGGACAGGGCTGGCCCACAAGAAGAGGCCTCGGGGACCACAGACCGAGATCCGTACGCTGTCCCAGCTGCTTCCTCCCACCCCATGCAGGGTTGCCAGAAATGGCCATGCTGGGTCAGGCAGCCGGTGGTGGAAAGGTGCAGGCTGGTTTTCCCCGGTGCCTGGCAAGCAGAAAGTACCCGAGTCAGCAACAGACACCAAGTATATACAGACACCAAAGACATACGGACACCAAGGTGCTGGTGTATATCCTATGCAGTGACCCCTGTGCATGCACACTTCCCTACCACTGTCTCCAACCTGCAGCCTCCAAGACAATCTTTGCCTTATGTCTAGCAACCACGTTATCCCTTCCAGGGCCATCCTTCTTGCTGGTCCCAGCAGCACCGGGAGGTTTCCTGACTGGTTCTGCCAGGCACTCTCAACTTAGGCTTGTTGCAGCCCTGTTCCTGCTCAACGGGATGCAGCAAGGCAAGGAAAAGAAGGGAGATCTTGCAGAGATGAGCCATTTGTTCCTCTGCTGGAAGGCACAACAGACAGCCCTTTCCGTCCATACAGAACAGAGGAATGTGGGCTCCTGTCAGGGCCCTCCTCAAGTCACTCATCTGTGCTTTGACAACAGTCTGCAAAGCCAGAGTTCAGCTCCTTCCCAGCTCAGCTCCTCTCCTGCAGCCAAGGGCCTCAGGAACCATCAGCCCTCGTCCAGCCCCTTGGCTCCTCTTCTACCTGGGCTGGCAAGAGAAGACCCCATGCCAAACTGCTCATTCTGGACCCCAGGTGAGGTGCTGGGCTTCCTGACACACATCCTGCTGCAACAGCAGAGATGGGAAAAGCTCCTTGAGGCAGCAGAGTGTCTGCAGAACAGTACTTCTCTAGCCCAGCTTACAAAGAAGCATGAAGAGGCACAAATCTCTGGTTCATGCTTTTTCCTGTGCAAAAAGAGCTTCCTAGCTAACTCCACATTGCCATTTCCCTCTGCTCCTCTGAGCCTCTCCCTGCTCCAGAGGGGACACAAACCCAGAGCAGGCACTGCAGGTCTCTGCTCGCTGACATGAGTCCCCCCAGCTGCTCTGCTCCGCCAACTCCTATTCGATGTCTCTGGGTAGCTCCTCATACCCGTAGCACTGTCTGTAGCTGCACAGGGGATGAGGTCTGAGCACCAAGGAGAATAGAAGCCGTTGCGCTGTTGAAAGTTCTCCCCCAGGACAATGTGGGGAGGTTGAATCATTAATTAAGTAAGCATGGTGGAAAGTCCCAGCTAAAAGAGATGAGTCATTGGATTGCCAGCCCTGGGTTTGCACGGCCAGGGCCCAGGCTCCCTGCTGCATCTTTGAGATGACACCTCTCAGCTTATCATGAATCACGAGAAGGGAACCATAAAATTCCACTTCAGTCAGAGCACGGAAAAACACAAGCACTGTGGGTCCAAGAGATGCCAAATAAACATGAACCGGAGAGAAAAGCAGACAGATAGAGCCTTCCTCATACGGAGCTGAGGGACCATGGGAGTGAGAAATGCCCCCCAGCAGCGTTGGGGCAGGCAAGGCAGCATGGCAACAGGGACAAGTGACATACTTGGAACAGAAGGACTCACTTTTATGGCACTCTCCCACTTGAAAATTAACTGAACAAGCCGACAACCTTCCCAAATGTTTTCAGGTGATGGAATTCCTGTTGCTTCAGATGGTGGGAGAAGTGTTTTAACACTCACACGTAGCAGAGGAGCAACATAGGCCCTTACTGGGTCAGTAGGACTTAGTGGGTGAGTTTTCTTGTGCTGGCCCAACTATGTGCTGACTGTGCTTATCAGCCGAGTCGTGTAGTCCAGTGTCATCTATTTTTTTTCATTCTTGATGAAAGCACAGGGATTTTTATAATATAAGTCACCTTCTTTGTAGATCTGTATTGGGGAGTTAGATTACTGTATTTTACTTGTGTAAATAATTACAGCTCTGGCAGTGGCTCTGGGAAGGAAAGAGAGATACGAAAGCAGCATGCTTACCTTGGCAGTGGCTCCGGTTCAGCCTCTTGTATCCCTGGGGACACTCCACCTGCCCATTCTCAATCACAGGGTGTGCTGGGAAGAAAGCAAACAGTGTGGGATGTCAGCAGTAAAGCCAGCCACCGGCATCCTACCTTCTCTCTGCCCTCCTTGCAGAAGGGAGAGGGGTCCCTAGGTCTGCCTTGGACAAACCCAGGCAGAGGGACAGGTGGGAGCAGTCACATTTCCCAAGCAGTATCTTCTGCTGCTTGGCAGGTGCCAACCTGGTGACAAAGGTGATCAAAAGAAGCATGGCCAGCAGGTCGAGGGAGGTGATTCTGCCCCTCTACTATGCTCTGGTGAGACTCCCTCTGGAGCACTGCGTCCAGCTCTGGAGCCCTCAGCACAGGAAAGACATGGACCTGTTGGAGCAGGTCCAGAGGAGGCCACAAAAATGATCAGAGGGATGGAACAGCTCTCCTCTGAGGACAGGCTGAGAAACCTGGGGTTGTTCAGCCTGCAAAAGAGAAGGCTCTGGGGAGACCTTATTGCAGCCTTCCAGTTGGTGGCTTATAAGAAAGATGAGGACAGACTTTTTAGCAGGGCCTTTAGCGATAGGACAAGGGGTAATGTTTTTAAACTAAAAGAGGGTAGATTTAGACCAGATATAAGGAAGAAATCTTTCACCATGAGGGTGGTGAAACACTGGCACAGGTTGCCCAGAGAGGTGGGCATTTCCCCATCCCTGGAAACATTCAAGGACAGGTTGGACAGGGCTCTGAGCAACCTGATCTAGTTGAAGATGACCCTGGTCCCTGCAGGGGGGTTGGACTAGATGACCTTTAAAGGTCCCTTCCAATCTAAACTATTCTATGATTCTATGACCCAGAGGTGCTGCCTGTGCTTCATATTTATCACTGTGTCACCTCGGCTCCTCCGAGGCCAGCTTGGATAGCCAGGCAGCACATGACAAGGGGGACCAGAGTGAAAGGAATGGCAGTGGTCCTTGATAAGATGCTGAAATAACAGCCCAGGGCCTGTTTATTACATTTTCCCTCTTTTTAACTGCATGTGATTTCCTGCCCCGATCACTCTCATCAAAGAAAATTTCAAACTGCTGCTTGAAATAGTTTTGTGGGGTTCAAAATGGCCTATAACCATAGCCAACTAAATCTTTCCAAATATTTTAAAGGCAAGTAAAATGTGGCCCACATATACCAAGGAGGACAAATTTAGGCACCATATTTTAGAGCAAGGGAAAGGGAATCCAGGAGGACATGGGTTGGGAAGTGAGAAAGCATGGGGTGGGGTAGGAAGAAGGGTGCTTTGCCTAAAATTGGGATTTTCCCAGGGTGGGGTTTCTTTTTAATTCTCTGGACCATACGCTCAGAAACAAGAAGTGTCTGTAACAGCTAAGTGACTGCCCAGACATATTCCCACCACTCAAATTCCTCCTGCCTGGCATCAGTAGCTCACACCCTGGTGTCGTACATGGAAAGTCCTCCATAGCAATAGCCGTATCGAGGATCTGGCAGATTCCTAATGCATTGCAGCTTTCGAGAACCAGGGACAAACTGAGACCATCACCAAGGTAGGAGATGGTCGGGATAGAGCCTGCAAAGGTTAAAGAACACAAACCACGTGCTGGGGGCAGAGAACAGGCATGTCCATAACTTTTTGTCCTGGAGACTTTGGCCCTATAATGCAGTTTAAAGCTATTTTAGGACACTTCTTGAAAGGCAAAAGTTAGGGACCAGCCTCCTAGGCGCTTGGGAAATAAAAGATGGGAGAACAAGATGCCATTCATCAGCCTGTACTAGGAAGGAGAATAGAAAGCCTGGTTTCCCTAGGTATATAAAATGAAGTTACAAGATTTTCCAGGTGCAGAGAGATCCTCAGTGGCTAGATGAATAAGGTGAAAAATCTCTTCACCTCCTTCAACAGTTCAATCATTAATTGTAAGCAGGAGGTGCTTACAAACATCTGGATGTTAGGGGCGAGGGGGCTGCTGGTGATACTGGGTATCACTGGGTACATTTCCAATCTTCTGGGAAGGGAAAAACAACCTCTGGCTCACGGACTCCAGGCTCAGTGCCCTGATGGGATTCCAGGTCCTCCCACACCACAGTCTGTGGCCTTGGGGCTGCCGACAGGCATTAACTGTGCTTGGAAGCATCTGTCAGCCTTAGGACGATGTGATAACAGACGCCCAAATGAAGCAGCATCGTTATGCACGAGCCCTCCGATGGGGAGCCAAGCATGCCAGAGATCAAACAATGATGACGTGTCAGCTCCCTCTCCAAAAAGCCTTTGCAGAGAAACAGATCCTGCAGCATCCCTCCACCAGATGCTGCTGGGCAGAGGGCGAGGCAGAAAATACCAGTGATGGGGGTGAGCGTGCAGGTCTCGTGCCACCTCAGCACTCGTACAACTCCAGTCTGCAGAAGCCTGTGGCTCATTATTGCAGCAAATCACTCGTGAGGCTGCGGATCAATGTCTTAATTTTGCAAAGAAACACGCATTCCCTGGAAAGAATAACTGTAATGTAATGTGAGCAGATCTTTCTGTACCAAGGGGAACCAAGACAATTTCTGAACTACTGGATGGAGGCTGCTCTCTTTCTGCCAGGACCTGGCCACAAGGGAAGACAGCGTGTGGCTGCAGGAGGATGTAAGCTATTAACTCTCAGCTTTGTACTTGGTTACTTGAGCAGAGGACCATTTCCTTCCATGAGCTCTGATGTTGCTGAACTACAGCAGAGACAGCCAAAAACCCCTGAAAAACCAGCCTAGGAAATCTGAGTTTACTGCAAAGGGGATCAGCATCCACCCCTCTCCCATGCAGCTGATAGGAGTGCGAGGCCATTCCTCTGGAATCCAGCAAAGAGCAATGCCTGGGAAAAAGCCAACGTGACAACCGGAGAGGGCAGAAATCTGTCAGCACCCACAGCCAGAGGGGTCCCAGCCTCCTGTGTCTGTCTGTCTGTCTGTCTGCGCTCTCTCCAGGAGGAGGTGCGCCCAGAGCCTGAGGCCAGGGACAAAAGCAGCTGAGATGCATCTGTCAGGCAGAGGGATTTCAGGCTTGCTGAGGGTGTGATTTCGGAGCCTCATCTCTTGGGCACTTCAGCCCCATGGGCGCTGCACCGAAGCAATGTGCTCACCAGGTACCTGCACACCAGGACTTCCCCTTGGCTCTCCTCATCGCTCCCTCCAGCTCTGCTTCATCCCACCACCCAGTGCTGCTTTCTGCAAGCTCTGCAGGCACCGAGCATCCCTGGCAGGGCCGGGCTCTCACAGAGGAGCATGTGTGCAATAAGGTCACAGATCCAAAAAGGAGGAAGTGAGTATGAAGCAGCCACAGCCCAGGACTCCCACCAGCACCTTTGTCAAATTTGTCCCCAGCTAGAACAATACTCCAGCACAGCAGAATGAGAAGGGAAATGAATGCACAGAAATCAGTCAGAGGTATTTTGCAGCCTAGCAGGATGATTTTAAACAGCCAGGTGCACTTCAGAAGTTGTCTGTCACTTCCCAGGAGGAGAGCCTTTACCCAAGGGCCCTGGCTGAACTGTCTGAAGACAGCATGAAGCAGCTCAGGCTGATGGTGAAATGGAAACAAACCACTTCTAGTGGTGGTAGCCCCAAGGGCCTGAGTGAGGCAAGGTTTGTAGGATGAGATAATACATTGCCTTAGGCCATCAATATCACTTTGTTAAAAAGGGAAAAGGCAAGCCTGAGGTCAGATGAGAAGTGAGGAAATGCTTGGCTGCTGAAAGCTAGCCCATTTCTTTCAACTCTTTCCATTTATCCTAAAAAAGGCATTATCTCTTTGAGAAATCTTGCCTTGCTGAACTCCTTTGCCACTTTCAGTACTCACAGACATTTCTGGAGACCCTGAACTGGCTCCACAGAAGAACCCCAGCCCTGGCCGGACCCTGGGCATCTCCCCGTGCCCGCAGTGGGCACAGAGTGTGCAGTCATGAGGGTGGCTGTGGTGCCTCTGCTTGTTCTGGGTTTTCCAGCATGTGGGAGATGAAAGGAGCCAGAGCGCACGGTCTTGTGGCATTTGGAGTTGGGGACTCATTCAAACCTCAGCTTGGTTTAGTGTGAAGATCAGCCTCTACTGCAGAGAGGACCTCAACTGCTGAACTTGCTGGCAGAAAAGCAGAGCAGCTCCAACCTCATAGGAGCTCCTGAGAGAAAACATACTGGAGATGCTAGACCAAGAAGTAGGCTGTGAGGATAAGATGAGTTCTCAGGCAGAATGGACAAGAGGGAAAGGACACGAATCCTTCAGTCCAGATCTGTCATGACCACTCTCTTCTCCTCTGGGTGGTCTGTGGTAGGCAGGATTCCGCAAGACTTTCTCCAATGCCCCAACAAAGACTACCATAGCAGGGGTGAGGGGGGCATGCACCAGTGCTGATGTGCAATACGAAACTAAGCCCTCTGCTCTACTCATGGTCAATAAAGATCTTCAAGGTGGAAAAGATGCTTGAAGGAAAAAAAGACTCTGGTAATTACTGTTGGCTTTTGAGGTCATTTTAACAGAGAGAACCTCATTCTGCTCACACAGTGGCTTCCAGCTGGGACAAAATACCTCTGTACCTTAAAAACCCCACTTTTGAAACACTGTGCCGCTGTGTGCCAAGACCACAATCCTGCACATGGATCCTGCACACTCTGCAGAACAAGGCAGTCCTGAAAATGCTGCACTTTCCCAGGTATTGCTCTCTGTGGTACTGCCACAATCTTGCAGAGGTTTCAGCTTCTTTCCCCACCTCCAGCCCTTCTTTACTGTACTGGACAGACTCCCTGTGGCACATGGTGTAGTGGTGGCAGAACCAGCCCCTCCGTAGCCTCCTTTCCCATATTTCCATTTTTTTCCCCCTGTATCCTCCCTGATCTGATGGCAACAAGAGCAGACCAGGGGGTTGATTTTCAGGGGGCTTCCTGTGGCTGTTTCAATGCCTGCAGGCACAGCACAGGGGAACATGCAGCTTGCGGAGCCGCTTGGCGTTTCTGATGACGACAGCTCCATGGGTGAGCTGCCACCCCTCTCGCAGTGGGAGGTCTGTTTGGGAAGTGCTGTGGATGCCAAGCCAGACATTACAAGATCCAACTTTCCAGTGAAATTCAGACTTTTCTCTAGGACAAAAAACTTGAAAAAACACCGGGAGTGGGAATAAAAACAAAACAATAGCCTTCAAAGACTTGTTTCTTAATGCAGTTAAAACTCATAGGCAGGAGAAGAGAAGGCAGCCCAGGAAGATCTGCAGTGAGCACAACCGGTGGGTGTGCAGCCCAGCCCACGCTCAGGCTGACTGCAGCCTGAAATAAGGGACAGCAGGCAGTGAAGAACCAAGACCTAGAAGACACAGATTTACTGCTGCACCCAGAAAGTCCCCCAAAGCCCCACAGAAAGGTGAGACTTGTAGCTCCTGCACAGTAGAGGGGAGGGTGTCTGTCACCGGTATGGGCTTCTCCTGGAGCGCTGCTGGTCACAGAGCTGTGTGGTCTCAGGGTCAGGGAGGTGGCAGAGGAGGTCTGTGACCCCCTCTGGGCAGAGTGCCTTGCCTTGCCTTCCGAAAAAACTATCCGCTACCAATTTCCTTCATCCCCACATGCCTGAGGAGGGCCAAGGCTTCAGGGAAACCAGTGTCCAAATCTATACCCTCCCTGGGGTCTGTGTCGACCTGCAGCTTGGGTCTTGCTGGTTTTAGGACCATCTCTTGAGCTTGTTCCAGTGTGTTCTTCCTCACAGAGCACTGTGTACCCCAAAATAGTATACAGTCTGGCAGGTAAGCAGGAGTGGCTCTGCCCAGCAGTGTGCCTGCTACTAGCCCTGGATCCTGAGCTTGCCATGGGACAGGACATCGCTTCAGTGCAGCTTCCTCACCAGCAATGTTCAAATACCCTGCTGGTCTTTGGGCTTCCTCCCAGCCACATCCAAGTGTCTCTATACCAGCTGCTTCCTCAGCCTCCGATTCCATTTCCCCACTATCAGTCTTCAAGTTTTACCTCCCAGCTCCCATATCCTCCTACCTCTCTGTTCTAGCCTTTCAGCATGTGCTCCAGCACCTCCTCCGTGTACTAAAGACCCAGGAGGGACATTGGATGTCTCCCTCTGATGTATCCTATCTTGCAGAGAAGCACATTTCATCCAGACATCTCCAGACAGAGTTGAAGGACTGCAGCTGCATGACAGCATGCAGGTGTCCTGCCACTCTCCAGGGACCTGCCTCTGGCTCATCTCCTTCTTTCATGGGTTGTGTGACAGCCTTTGCCCCAACAGCTCACAGAGCAAGCTCTTGGCCCTCCCCTTTCTCCCCAGGGCTTTCTCTGACATACCCTGGGGATCTCGTCTTCAGCTCTCACTTACACAAGCAACAGCAAACTCCCAGCAACTTCTACTGTAGCCTACTTGAAAAGTCAACTCTGGGTCCATTTCTCTGAAGGGTCCTAACGATATACAGCCTCTCAGCAGCAAACCAGACAGCCGAAAGCCTGAGCAGAGCCTAAGGAAACCTCTGAGACTAATGTAACAAACACCCACTACAGAGAGTCCTGGCCAGATCAAGCCCACCTCTACCTTAATTCTGAACTCAGCTTTTAACATGGTCTCCTTAGGATGCAGACAAAGTGTTCAAGTGCCTTGACTTTTCTGATGCTGGGCAAAACACAAAAAAATAGCAGGGATTGGTCACGGCAGGTTCGCTCGGACAGATGCCTGCCTCTGATTCTTCTTCTCTGATGTCTTTCCGCACACAAACACATACTAAACATGAAAGCTGCAGTCGACAGAGACATCCGGACATATCCAGACTCTACTAACAATCAGTGTCTCGGGCAGACAGTCAATCCAAACAAGCTCTCCATTTGTCTAGCTCTTGCCTGGCTGCACTTCTGTACATTTGTAAGTGTTTACACTGAACTAGCTTCTGCCATTTCTGTCTCTGGTTGCTGGAATTAAATTCCCAGCACTGTCAAGTCTGCTGTGGTGCACGCCTCCCCGGGACACACGAGCACAAGGAGAAGTTCTCTCCGAAGACCACAGTGCCAAGAAGAAAGCTGGAAACATCCACTGGACATGTTATCTCTGTGCACGAGATGCCAGGTCACTGAACTACAGCCCTGTGACTCTGAGTGAGCACAACACAGGCCAGCAAGACAAGGAGACAGAAGGGATGTAAGTAAGTGTGGGATGTGGTCTACAGGCAGAAACAATGTGGCATGATGCCTTCATGCTGGACAGGCATGGACCTGGGAGCCCTGGCAGAGGAGGCACGGGGTGATTAGAGTTTACAGTGCTCGATAGCTCTGTTAGAACCATCAGATCATGGAGGAAGGACAGTTTTCCTGGCTCCACTCTGGGGTGAGATCTCTGGTGTGTGAAGACAGCACGCCAGAGAAAAGCATGCCAGCCACCTAGGCTTCTCACTTCACAGCAGCCGGGCTCTCTTAGGCTGCCTCCATCGAGTGTCTGCCTTACAGCTCCCTTCACTTGCACTGTGTGGTCTCCTGCATGTGGGCTGTTACAGGGCAGTCAATCAGAGGTAGCCAAAGGAGGAAGATACTTGCACACGATTAAAGAGGATGAAAATGGTCCCTTCAGCTAGCCTGAATTCCTGCCAAAATCAACAAGAGCCGTTTGGTCTCCAACGGGGAACTTTATCACCCAAAGCCAGAGGGACTGAGACTGGGATTTTTTTGTGGCACAGGAAGACAGAAGACCCACGGGGATACATTTTTCATATCCCCATGGAATTAATCTGAAAAAAAGCCAGACAAGCATCTGTCCACGCAATGAAGACCAGAGGCAGCAACCTCCCTTGAGTTTCAGCTGCTGCTGGGACACGGGGCATGTGCTGAGCTGTGGAAGTGGGACCTGCTGGCAGCTAGGAGGCATTTAAGTGCATTTGGTCTACTGGCTGGCTGACTGCAAGGAACAAATGGGGTATTTCGTGCTTGCTTTCACATCTTGGAAGCCTGTGATTACAGATGCAGTCTGAAGCCTGAAGATCAAAGTCCAGCAGAGCAGACACTGCTGCGGCTCTGGCCGCTGAGCGATACCTAGTACCCTGGCATGGAGAAAGAGAAAGGAGGTGCAGAGATTTTGCAGCGACCTGCAGCTTAACAGAAGCGTTAAGTGGCCCCCCTGCTTCCCAATGCGGGCATCAGAGAGACCGGGTGAGAAACGGGGAGGCTGCTGCGAGATGGGGAGGAGAAAGCCGTGACTGGGGATGCGAAGGTTGGGGATGAAGAGAAGGGGGCTGAGGTCCATATGGAGCATTTCCTTGTTTGTAGTGGGCCTGGCAACCCCACAGTCACCCCCATGCCCCAGCCCAAGGCTCCCTCGGGGCTGGCATGCAGACGAGGGCAGGCATGCAGCAGCGTGGCCTGGGGCCACAGCAGAGCTGTACAGAGCAGGAAGATGACAGCAATCAGAGCTCCCCAGATCTGTGCTGGGTTCCAGGATGCTGACAACCTCGTCTGTGATTGTGAGGAATTTGGCTCCAGACTGCTCTACCCCTGGCTGAGGAGGAACTGAATCAAGGGAGGACAACGAGATGCAAACAGCTCTTGGGAGCGTGCGTGTGAGTGAGCGGGACAGCCCCTGGGCAGTGCTAGAAGGCACCAACACCACAGTGGCTTGCACAAAACCTGCCGCCTTGGACACCTCCGCTCTCCTCAGGGGTCAAAGTCTCCTGGACCATGGGGTCTGTTTAATTTAGTCCTTCAATCCAGTGAAGACATGTGAACGAGCAGCCAGGCAGAGATGAAAAGGGGCAGACAGGCAGGCAGGGGTGAGGCAAGCAGCTCCCAGTCCACATTGCACAGGACATATGCACCTTGCCCCTGCACCAGACCCGGCCGGGCTTGTGGAGCCACTGTGCCCACAGGGCTGCCTCCCCCCAGCCAGGAGTCCTTCAGCACAGCCTCTCCCTCAGGATACGGGATGGGGCCACGGCATGAGAGGCCATGCCCACCATGGAGCACCCCGAGCGAAGTGGCCGAGGAATCCCCGTCTCCCGCTGGATCAGTCTGTCCGGCTCCCGAGCGCAGCAGAAACGGGGCTGGACGCCCATGCCCCTGGAACAGACCCCGGGTGCTCTCCTGCCAATTGTTTGATGTAGTGTTATTTCCAGAGCCCCTGCCAAGCCCGTGCTGGGCCCAGAGCAAGCCCGTAACTCTATAGGGCCAAGTCTGCAGCCTCCTCCACCGGTCTGGGACTGCACCTCCTAAAACCACGGCCGCTCTTTTCCCGTTTCTCCCTCCGAGTGGGGCTGGGACAGCAGGAACCAACAGCCGCACCGGGGTTTTGCAGCAGCGGTTTGGGGAGAAAGCACTGAGCCTGGGGGCAGCAGTGGAGCAGGCATGGCCCCACACACCGCCTTGGACGCGCTGCCTGTCTCTGAAGGCCTTGGGTAAAGGAAAGCCACGCAGCGAGGGACCCGTGGCTCTGCTCCACACCTCCTCGGCCGCATGAGGCAGCCTGACTATTTTTGTTTGCTGAGGGTACGGGCTGTCTGTGCGCCCCAGAAGAGCCCCACGCTGCCGCAGCAGTCCTCCAGCTTGGTCAGCCCCGGCAGGGCGTTGGTGCACTGCGAAGAGAGGACCAGAAGGTCAGGCTTCTGCAGGACGGGGAGGGGACGCACGCCTGTTGGCTGTGGCCAGCTGGCGTGGTGGCGGTGGCAGAGCCAGCATGGGGGACGATGGCTTGGGGTCAGCAACTGGCACAGTCCTCCCGGCACAGCTTCCCACCAGGACACGGTGGGACCAGGGATGCAGTTTAAGACAGTAAACAGTTGTGCAGACAGAAAAACACGAGACTCCCTCAACTGCACCCCTCGGAGGGGAAGGGGACATCAAACGGAGCAGGAGACGAACCAGAGATGATATCACCCAGCAAAGCCCTGGGATCAGCCCCGTGCCTGGCTGATTAGCCAGCGAAATGGGTGCACCACTCCAGCCCCGCAGGGAGCTTGCGGTCAGGCATTTTCCTCTGCTTAATGAGTCTCTCTTTCCCGCCCCCCTGCCCCCCCAGCAAGGCCCTCTGGATTACAGGC